TGTGTGTGTGTGTGTGTGTGTGTGTGTGCGTGCGTGCGTGTGTGATCCCTTCGGTCATGTATTTCTATAGTCTGTTGGTTCTTTAATGAAAGAATACAATAATTATGTAGCCCTCTCGTGTTTATCCACTAAGATATTGAACCACCGTTTCTTCCTAGAGACAACTTTGAGCCTAAGCTTCACACCACGGACGCTGGTGCGCAGTCTAATTTTACGAAGATTTTGAGCATAAATTCTGTTAGATCTAATCTCATTCCCGATGTTCATTCTTTCTCCAAAGAATATGCGTATGTTCAGTGAATTCCCCCACGTCACGGGAATCAAACCCTGGCCTTCTCTGTGCAGGATATAGCCTACCATTGTACATCAGACGCCGGCTGAAAGTCTTTTTTGTGAACACTTTGAGCACGATAATTTCTTGTTTCCTCTCAACAATGACTTCAATATAGTAGTATTAGTAGATCATTCTCTCGCTCTCTCTCTCTCTCTCTCTCTCTCTCTCTCTCTCTCTCTCTCTCTCTCTCTCTCTCTCTCTCTCTCTCTTTCTTTGTCTCTGAGCATGCCACGTCGTATCACCTGTTGGTGTGAGATTGCCTTCGTAGTTACTTGTGGTTTGGGCTAGGTAGTGGGAAATTTTGTGACCAAAACAGGGATAACATAGGTCGTTTAAGTATGTAATTATAGGCTATTATAGCTATTCCTATCTTGAAGTTGAACAATTTGTAGCAGCTAGCAGTTGTCCTACGAATGTGCCGTGGTTGTTTTTCTCCCTGACAATGTAGAGCAATGCCTAATTTCAAATACATGTAATGCTTGCAAGACTGTTGGCGCTTGTTTTGCCTGAGATGCAATGTACTGCGTATGCAAACGTATTGCCTTAAGTTATTTTTCTGAAAACGGAGCTTATATATCTAGTACATCTAGGCTACTATGAAATTTAGATCATGGGTTATCTTCAATTTAATTCGTGTCATGCTCTTATGGCCCAGGTTTCAAGTTAGTCTTCTCTAAAATATTAAGTAACTTAGCTTTTTATGTAGAAGAAAAAAAAACCCAGAACAAACTCAACTTCAAAATTGGGCCGTATTACTCTGTGGGTTCCAATGGCTCTCGTTTAGATCTAATGATCATGGGTCTCTAGAAGGTAGCCAAAAGTAGGTCTTTGGCGGACACCTTCGTATAAGGTGGTCTTCTACTTTGCATATCATTATAATAATAACATTTTTGTCTTAGTCTGTTCCTTGCTAGATGTGACTGGAATAACTCAGATGCCTATGCGATAGACTAAACCGATAGACTAAGCCGATAGACTAAGCTACAACAGGTTTAACTGGATCCTGGCCACAACAGACCCACCGGGACCGCAGTTATAACCGAACCCCCGAATCCTGTTATAGACGGGGATCACGTTTACAAACACTGTAACTAATGGTTAACAAATGGGATATAGCTTTTTATTACATGTACACAGATTACCCATTCCACCAGTTATTCCTCCTCTCTTTTCCACTGCTGCTATTTGCTCCTTATCCTTATCTTTCTTGTTCTAGTAGCTAAGTCTCATGAACGTTGACTGCACATCATTTGAGATGCTGGGGGCGTTTTCTAATGAAAATAATAACTGCATTCATTTAGCGCACACCTTGCTCTACAGCATGCTCTACGTACACTCTACGTCGTACACTCAATACACTGTTAGGAAAATCAGGACCAACACCTAAGTGCATTCAGCCCCCCCCCCTCCCTCCCTTATATAAACGGTTCGTCCCATCCCAAGGAAGCGCTGCTGACTGACGTTGTCTTAAGGCCATTCCCAAAAGGGGAATATTGACATGATCTTATGCACAGTAGAATTGTAAATGGGCTGATTTATCAATGTCAAGCTCATACTGTGCCGGAACAACAAAGGGGGAACTGCTGCTTTTTCTTTACTCATCATTATTATCGTTTTTATGCCTCTACTTCTTTTGTATGCTTGCCACTCTCTTGTGGACTGCTATTTCCGGGGTGCCTTGATAGCTGAAGCACACTTTGTGCTGTTGAGGCTAGAGAGGTGATCAGAGTATACCTGATTCCCTGTTTGGACTTCTCTGTTGACATCCACCCCTTAGCGCTCATATTATGACCTTATGCAATTGCGAACGCCGTAAAACATTTCTAAAACAAACAAACAGACCTCTTGTGGGTCATGGAGGTAGGGCTTACAATTCATCAAAGATGTTGTTTTGTTTTATTTGCTTTTTCTGCTTTCTTGTACTTTTGTTTAGGGTGTTGTCAATACTTGGACTCCTGGGCCGTTATGGCCGAGCATTCATATTCCGAATTCCTACTGAAAACAATTTCAAAACAAGCATACTTATTACACATAATAAGAGTTTGGGCTCTGGGATTCATTATAAGTCTGCTAACCCCTATAGCCGAAATCCTGTTATAGCCGAAACTATTTAAGTGGGGCTCATTGTTTCGATGAATTGGGCGAAAGTAATTCCTAACAAATTTGTAAACCTACAATGCGTTGGCCTCTGTTGTGGAATAAAAGTAAGGAAAATTGTTATGAATTGTTCAACCTTACACCATTTGGGAACCACAGCTCATTTGACAATACATAATACATGTGCAGTTTGATCTATTTTTTATTATCGTTATTTTTGGTTTCATTAGTTGCTTTTCTTTCTGAAAACTTGAACATTGAACGTGTACCTGGCAAGTGGCAACTTCCGGGAAAACTTTGACTAAGCCCAAACCGTTAAAAGGGTCTGAATTTGAATAAGATCTGTCTTTACTTTTCAAAGGTTGCTTGGAATCAACAGAAAACCCGTGAGTCTTAAGGTCACGAATTCGAATAGATCTAGATCTAGAATCTAGATCTAGATCTAGGTCCATGAATAGGCTAAGCCTGCACAGGGCCTAATGCAGTTTTGTTGATTCTAGAATTGTCTTTTGTTGATGTTCCGTTTCTCTTATCAGAATTTTTTCTGCTGAAAATGTGCTCCCTGTATGGATTTCTTGTGTGTTGTTGTTACAACTTTATTGTTCTAATCTAGATCTAGATCTAGGTATTCTAGACTTTCTATGTAGATTGCTGATCTAGATTATTCAGTCTGTGGGAAATAACTGCGGGAATGATGTCATATCTACGTAGTAAGTAGTTGCTTCCCCTGGTAGAAGAAAAACTTCATTGACACCATTCACCAAGGCAGTCGGACAAAATCATTCAAGTACGTAAAATAAGTGTATCATGTAGGCCTATATGTTTAATGTTTAACGCCACCGTCAACACTATAAGCCTAGGATAAGAGGTGAGATCTCTTGATTTAGTATAACTGTCTCCTATAAAGCCAAACCAAATGGGTTGAGATGAGAGCCTTGAAAACTCCACAAAACCACACCACAAGAACCCCCAGTGTGGGATTGAAAACAGGGCTTTGGTTCAGTTGTCCAGCATGTTAGCATGATATCAAGTGAGCTTTAATGGAGTGCCTTGAATCTTCCTAGCTTACATTGAAGTGCTAGATACCCAGTATCCTATGAATGCCCCATCGAAATTGAGCTACATTCATCTTGCCAATTTTATTGTATTGTAGTCATCATAGCTTCATTTTTGCTTTTTATGGTACTTCTCTCTTTACTTTATAAAGGTAAATTTGAGGTGAGCATTTTTGCTTTTTGTCTAAATTTTTTAGGTAGATTCATATGTAACTAATAAACTTGAAAGCTTTTTCTCTACACTAATGTAGCTTGGTAAATTGATCTGGGTGTACCTTCTACCTTCTGCATTGTTTCTCTTCATCTGACTTGTACTTAGTATTCGTATTCTTAAATTTTGCAGGTACTCCTTATGCTGGCAACAGGAGTGTGAAAATAAACCATCATAAGACTGAAATATATAACCGAGTCTTGGTGGGAAACTATGGTGGAGTCTGCCTTGGATCCTCAGAGATACTGACTCTGCCACTTGACTAAAAAAGAAATTTAAACTTACACTCTTTTATCTTTACGTTTACAGACTTTGTGAGAAATGTCTACCGAGGCAGAAGAAACCTCTGTAACTGCTAGTGCTACGACTCTCATTCGTACCCTGTGGAATGATCCTTTTAGATGGTGAGTAGCGTGTAGGCTACTTTTCTTCTTCTTGTACAGGAAAGGGCGTTTGTGCAGCCTGCTTAATTTTTTTTCTTGTAATGCAAAAGCGTATCATGATACATTTATTATATAAATTATGAATAGCACACATATTGGAAGAAAGTGCTCAGTCCTGTCTTGCAATTGTTAAGTCACAAACTGGTAACTTATTTTTTTTCGTGTACTTGAGTTCACTTAAACAAGGAACAAGATGCATAAAAACTGGAGAAAGAGGAATGGAAAAAGTGGAGGGGGAGAGGGGAAAGTTAACTAATTAATACAAGAAACAGTGTGCAAGTGGATAGAATATCCACTACCCATAACAAGCAGGTATAGTAAATGGATTGTAGAAAGTTACCATAATAGCTGAGGAAGCTTGTGCTGAATCCACTGCAGGTAACTAAGATTGAATGGATGGGGGGAGGGGGTGTCTTTACTTTTGTCAAATGAGGATGGGGTGGGGGCGGCTTGTAATTATTTTTACTAACAATCAAGTCATTTTTATTTTCCTAGCGATTGCTACAATTGCCCGCCAGCATTTAACCCTTTCACTGACCATGAGTTCTCTGCACATTTTAATATTGCTGAGCAGCAGAGGAAAAATAAACTGTAGCAGTGCATGCATCTGTTGGTTTTTTACTATCACAATATGACTTGAAAGTTTTAGTAGCAAAACCATAATCTATCTTGAATTTGCCAGCTTTATGTTGTTTGCGATTTCAGATTTTTTTCTTTATCTGGACAGAAAGGTTAATTGTTTCAGGGCTGATAGGCTGCTATTAGCATTGGATGATAGTGTTGTTAAAAAGTTGTTGATTAATCTGTATAGCTGTTCCATGTGCATATTTTTTTTCAAGTACATGTATACTTCACTATCAACAACAGACAAAGTATACTTTATCTAGGAATTGTGAAATGCTTTTCATATCATTGTTGTCACAAGTCAAATATTTAAGACATGCTTTACTGGATTTTAAAAAAGCATAAACCTTTGGAATATACAATATGTGATGTATGTATGGACAGGATTTTTGTCTGTCTGTGCTCCCTCTATATCATGTGCCTGTGCAGTAGAAGTTGCTCCATACCATGTGCCTGTGCAGTAGAAGTTGCTCTATACCATGTGTCTGTGCAGTAGAAGTTGCTCTATACCATGTGTCTGTGCAGTAGAAGTTACTCTATACCATGTTGTGTACCTTCACAGGCAACTGGTGAAGAGTTTCTCCCTGTTTGCAGTGGCTGTGCTCTTTGCTCATGAAATGGCTGTGGTTAGTTCTTCACCTTAGTGAACATGTCTACTGCAAGAGGTAAGATTTGGTAAGAATTGTGTGAAGTTTTGACAATCATATGATTTGTTGATTTGTCTGTATTTCAATCTAAAAGATGTGTACTTTTGTTGTTACTCATATTTCACTTCAGTTCAGTCCATTTAATTTGTTTACTTATAGAAGAATAGCAATATTAATATTAGCAGGCTTTTAGCTTGACTGTTTCTGTGCACTTGTGACTGGGAGGACAGGGGGCCCAGGAATTGTGTTCCAGGGGAAACAACCAAAGTAATATTTTTGTTAAACAAACATAATGCATGAGTTACCTCACTTTACTTCGGTTGCCGCCAGATTTGTCTTCTGGTGTTACAGGTACAGGTAATTTGCTATTTATTTATTTATATTGTCAGAGAATTTGTGGAATGAGTTAAATCTTCATACCACCTCCTACAAATGGTTTACATATTTTATCGCTTAATTATTAAATTTTAATTAAAATGTTTGTGGTATAAAAGAAATAGTTAACCCTTGTTGAGGAAAGGCGCCAAAATAATGTTTTTGTAAGGGTACAGCAGTATTACCTCCCAAAAGTAAATACACACACATGTACTCAAACATCTCTTTTTTAGCCCATGTAGGATGCACTTGTAATGTATTAGGTCTACAGATACATCTAGCAAGATAGGTGTCACGACTCGGTTGAATCAGGCGCTTGTCAATTTTTGGGCTTTGGATTTATAAGTATCATCTTGAAGCCTGTTAATTTGCATTGGTTTTACTGAAAAAAAAACAACCAATCTATCTTGAATAGAAGTTGTGATATTTGCTGTTGAAGGAGGTGGGGTCGCCTTCTTTCAGAAGTAAAATTAGTGAGAATATGGCCGCCAAAGTTTGGTGACTTCTATAGCTCAAGAGTCCTTGGAAACAGCAAATTTACATTTTCTGTATTTTTAATCAATGTTTTTTTTTTAGTAAAACTCAACACATAGATGTGTTTTTTAGTAGGCATAAAAAGTGTCGAGACAAAAAACAAAAAAATTCGATAAGAATTGCAAAACCGGCCGAAAAATGTTGATTTCTTTGATTTCATTACTGTGACGAGTGCCTGATTTCACCATGCTGCCTCACATGTTATTCTCTTTCGTTAGCTACTTGCCTGGACTGATTCACAAGGTTTTAGTCCTACTGTATCAGTGCATGCTTCCAACACTGGCCAGGGTTTCTAAAGTATGGGAGGAGGCCAAATGCAGCATTTTCACCCCAAAAAAAGTACTATCAAGACACACACATTATTACATATATCAGCATTACTGAGTACTTGCAGCATATTTCAGTCGACAGCTCTTGATTTTAGAGCCAAATCAAAGATTATGACAGATGTGCTAAAAACCTGATGTGGTGATGTTCATCACACTGACACAGTGATAGATTCCTTGGTCTGTCTTGTTTGCAAACAGAGCATGGTAGTGGTAGTAATTAGCTCCTCCCTCTGCCCTCATCTCCTGGTCTTTTGTTCCTCCTCAGAGTATTTTCATAGTTCGTTGAATCCTCATCTATTGCCACCCCCCCCCCCCAAATTCCCACCTTTTTAAAATCTTGCATGTTAATAATTCTAAGTTTAATTAACGGAAGGTGGAGTCTGCTTAAACCGAACACCGTCAATCAGAAGACAAAGATAAACTGAAAGAAAATATGGACAAGGTGCTACCTTTTTGGCTTAAGTCAGACTTAATTAAGCCAAAATAAAACTGATCCGCCACAGGACTCCGCATTTCATATTAAAAAAAGGTAGCGCCTTGATGATATAGTTCTCGATTTTTTTCTTTTGAATTTGGTCAGTCTCTCTAAACCTATCATAGACTTGGTTTTGTTTAGGCTAGAGAGGTGAGCAGAATAAGCCTGATTCCCGGTTTGGACTTCTCTGTTGACAGCCACCCCTTGACACTCGTATGACCTAATGCAGTTGCGAGCGCCATAAAACCTTACTAAAATATAAACCAAAAATATAACTAAACCGCAGACAATCTTATACAAATATTGAGTGGACTCCACTTTGTGTACTTTTTCATCTCCAGTGCTTGTGTTGCTCTCAGTCCACATGTTCTTTCAATATGGATGTTCATGCACGGCCAGACAACACGCTCACTGTTCTAGCACTCACCAAACATCATGTGCCTGCGCTGACACTCTCTGACAGTATATTCAAAGTGCTGCTGTAATAGTGCCCCAAAACAGACTTGGGCCAAAATCAAAGCTAAAGATTTAAACCTTGGCATTTCACATACGATGGCTGTTAAACTGTCAACAAAAAATGTACTGGTATACAAATATATATTCAAGTTATAAAAGAAACCAGCAATTTTATTGTAAATATTTGATTAAAATGTTTTAGCTCCCTTTCCTACCACATGACCTACTTTTTCTTTCCTCTCAGGATCCTGTGTGTGCGAGGTCAAGGATGTGAATTATGTGTCGCCGTCAAGCACCGGAGATTTCCTCATGACTCTACACAATGTGGTGCTTGTGTTACAAAAACTATAAATAAATGTATTTTTTCCTGTCTCGTTAAATACCAGTGTTACTTAGTCTGACTTTCTTTGTAATTATTTTTTTCCACATAGAAGTTTAAGTCTTGTCTATGTAGATCTCTGCAGGTTGTGGTGATGGTTGGAGTGTGTCACTTGTAGTTGTAGTGCCTCCTTTACTGTGATTTCTGTCTGTACTGTATGTCTTGCCTTCTTCTCACATTAAATGACTGTTGGTAGCTTTATATGGAGTGGAGAGAGATTATGTGCCCCAGCCGCCCAGGAGTGAAAGGCAATGAAAGTACCATCGAATTAACAAATTGGCTGTGGAAGCCAGTTTTGGAGGGGGGGGGGGGGGGGGGGGGGGAGTCGCTGACACTTGATCAAGTATTATCTTGGCCACATCCCACACCACACACCTGGGAGAGTAAGGTAGAGGAAGGGCCAGATTCAAGGACCTGTGTGCGTGCTCCTGCTCAATGGATCTCCAACCAAATTGTGCGTTTGACAATAAGAAGATGGACTTGAAATACAAAATGAATAATATAGGTATAATAATATATACATATAATATATATTCCCCCATTGTCACAGTTTAAAAATATTTAGGAGGCAGACTTCCAACCCTGTCTTGTCAGTGCCAACCTGGGCTGAGAGTGATACAACATCCCATCAGAAAGAGTGAGGTACATGTACATGTACTCGATAAAAATTATCCCGAGGAATCAAACTCGGGTCTCCTGTGTGCAACAACTCTCAACAAGCAACCTGATGGACTTTGACTTTGAGGTGGATTCTGAAGAAGAGGGGAAGAGCAGTTTTGGATTTGTAAGCTACCGTCTGCAATAATCCCAACCTTGGACTTGGAGACACATAGTATAGCCATATCGCTATCTTAGAATTACAAAGTTCTATCTGACGTTTTTGGTCGTTTTGAGTTACAGAGACCATGAGGCCAGAAACCAAATGTTCTATCTGCTCTACCAAAATCATAAGATTATTCGGATAAGTTGTCGAGATATTCAAAGAATTGCTTTCGAAAAAGCGTGAAACGTTTGTGAAACTCAAAATTTTCATCGTAAAATTTCTCCAAACTAGGTAGGCCTACTGAGCAGATAGAACTTTGCAATTCTAGGGTGGCGAAAAAAAATACAATATATTAGCTATATATAGTTGACTGCAGATGAGTTGATGTCACTGGGCGATTGAAAAACAGATCAACTCATGCTAAGTTTAACTTAATCAACAGTTGAGAACTGTAAAGAAGAAGAGGTGCTGGGATCCGAGTTATTGTTGTTATCGATCCAGGCTGGAACCAGAGAAAAAGTTTTAACTGAACAGAAGATCAACTCAAGTGAGTTATAAGAATCTACACAAGTCGAGTCGACTACTACTATACATATATATATATATAATATATCCTTGGCTAGCTATTCAAATGTAAGGTACTAACCCTATAAAGAATATGTTTCAATTGAAAGAAAGACAATTTTTTGTAACAATAGTACCTATATATGGAGGGGGAGGGGGAGAAGGGTTCTGTTTTTCAACATTTAGGAATTTGACTTTAATTTACAAACTATTTCTTGCATGCAACAGGTACATGTACCACAGATTAAGAAACTGCAATTTTTTTTTCTTTCTAATGTTGGGCTTGGCACATCTGAACAGCTAGCCAAAGATATATACCGTACAGTCAAACCTCGTTGTACCCCCGCTTCCCCATTATCAGTTTGTAGGCTATCATGTTGCATAACGTGATGGCCCTGGTTCGAATCCTAAACTGGGTGTTCTTGAACTTGGGTCGTTTTGTTGAGTTTTAGGCTCTCAACCCATTTGGCTCGGCCTTATCGGTGATGGATGGTAAACTTGGCTCTAAATTAACTTTTTAATTTTGTGTTAATAGAGGTATGAAGTGCATGATAACGATTTACCATTGTGACCAAGTCAAAGCAGACCTCAATCACAGTGGATGATAGTTTTCATTCATTTGTCATTAGTATTCATATTATACAAAAACCACAACAGATATATAATGATGTAACATTGCCAGATTTTTAATATTACAGTTAGGAGAATGATCATAATTATAGACTGCAGAATTTTGTACATTGGACAAAAAGCAAAAATCAACACTTTGGATGAAACCATTAGTTTTGCCACGCTTATTCCTCGCTCAGTTTTCATCCCCAAGCGCTCATATTTAGCGTACAAAAAAAACAACAATTCCGATTTATAATGGTGTGACAGATCCAGATTTTTTATACTCCTATTACAGTTATAAGAATGATTATTATAGACTCTAGAAATATGTATAGTGAAAAAAAAATTAATTAGCAAAACAAGGACAACCTAATTTTTCAATAAATGATTGAAAATACTGATCAGGTTAAGAGCTCTTCTTATTGATCAAAGATTAGTAAGAGAAGCGCATTGTGTGGAGAAAAAAAGAAAGAAAACTAAGTCACTTGAAAGGAAAATCAGGGGGGGGGGGGAAGTGGAGAGATTTGAAACCTCGGTGTATTGCTTTTTTTCTTTGACCTCGGTCAAGGGAATTGTGTCAAGAGTGAGGCTTTGACTTTGAGCAGAACATGTGAGTATTGTGAGTCACTGTATTTGAACAACAACACCATGACTCTCAACAAAAAATGACTTACACTAACAGGCCGATAATAACAGGGATTTTTTAAAATCTCCGTTTTTTCCTACTCTTTGTCTTTGTTAAAAGTTGTCGACAAAAACAGGGCCTCATCGGAGCCCAATCGGTTATAGCAGGGGCAAAGGCTCGTTAACAAAGTATAAAAAATCCGAGAGAGAGACAGAGAGTAACGCAGTGATGGAGCAAGCCCACGCAAGCCACGTCACTGCAGTAGGTGAAGCGAGAGAGGGCTGCGGTGTGCTGTAGACTTGATCAAGCCCTAAGCCTCGCTACACTACCCATCAATAATAAATACAGCTTGAGTAGTCCACAAATGCATACTTCCCTTGCATTTCGGATTTAACAGGTATCTTATATAAAAGGACTTTTTCTCTGGTCCCACCATTCCTGTTATATCAGGTTTCCACTGTACCAGGTGAGTGGTTTGAAAACGCCAAAAACAACTCGAGAGCACCCCAATGGGGGTTCAAATCAGGGTCCTCGGCAATATAGCCCAGCGTGATACTGAAACCATCAACTGGTTACATCGAGCCAATCCTATACATGTATGCGGGTGCGAAGCTTGGACAATCAGTAGACAGCTGGGAAGAGTAATTGAGGCGACAGAGTTGTGTTCATAAGACGCATGCTGCGTGTCCCATGGACACCTAGAAAAACAAGACACTCAATGCGGAAAGAAGCACTGGAGAATGTTATTACAGGCAAGTTTGATAGAAAGAAAGGCAGACAGAGGGTAAAATATACTGGACAAGTTGACATCATGGCTGGGAACAACAAGAACCGCAGACACCATCGTGCAAGGCAAGACAGAATGAAGTGGAGGTCCCGTTGTGGGCTGTTTGGTTATTTTGGTGAGCGTTGGGGATCGTCCAAGTTGTGAATGGTAGGCTTAGGCCTATGACATTAAGTATGTACTACATGTATTATTCTATCCCCGTCTTGGAACTACAAACGTACGTGTATGTGGGAGATGAGAAGATTTTCTCCGGTCAAAGGTGACAAAAGAAGATGTACGGTATGCTACAGAAAGGTTGACAACAACCTTACCGCTATGTACTTTAAGCGACCACGACTGTTTCAACTTTCCACCAATAGTCACGACTTTTAAAGAAAAAATCGGCTTCGTCATGCTTAGAACAATGAATCTTCTCGCATGTTCAACAAACTGAACTCACGAAGTCTCGAGCTGGGCTATTTCTTGCACTAACTCCAAGTTTCGAATTTGCGAGTTTTAGTCAAGGCGGTTGTAAGATTATTCCTTTGGACTTTGATTTCTTTGAGTGAGCCAAAAATAATAACGGTTAATGAACGTAATGTCTGTGGTCCGAAGAATTTCAGATTCATTTTTTGCCTTGTCTTTTTTTCCCATTTCTTTTACGCGAGAGACATTTAGCAGAGCTTTCGGAATCATGAACGCCCAAAACGGAATCATGGAGATAATTATGGACATTGTACATTGTTTTCGTTTTAGTAAGAGTTTTACCGCACTTGCAACACAATAAGGTCATGTAAGTACTGACGTATAGATTATACTGTGTTACAAGAGAGAAACACACAAAAAAGAAGGAGGAGAGATAAGGACGATAGATGTCATTGATAGAAAAAAAGGAGCGAACCACACCAGTGCACCCACCAACCACCTACAAAGAAGGAGGAGAGATAAGGACGATAGATGTCATTGACAGGAAAGAAGGAGCAAATCACACCAGAGCACCCACCGACCACCCTCACTGTACATTGTATAAAACAGCACAGTGCGACACGGCTGGTCACGCCAGCTCAAGGACAATATATGGACCTCAGAGGGTTAGATCTAGTTAGATAACAAGATAGGAATTTGACACGGGGCTCGTAATAGACTACATTTTCGGTGTCATCGTACTAGATTCTAGACTACATTTTTGATGTCCGAATATAACCTTGTATGTAACGGGAATGCTGATTTTTCAGAAAAGTGTAAAAGTAAATAAATAAAATGATGTAGTACTTGATGAGGCCCACGTGGGACGCTCACTGTTATAATTTATTTTGTTATAAACAATTAGGAAACGACAAATGCAAGTGTTTTTTTAACACCTGAATGGACATAAAGGTCTTCAAAATCTACCTCATACTGGCAAAAATCGAAGGCAAACGAGGCAGGCGTAGGCCCAGAGCAACCTACTTAGGGAACCTAAACAAATGGGTGACGGGAAAAGATCAGGGAAATGTAGCTTTCTTAAGAGCATCCGAGCAAAGGAATGAATGGAGAACCATGATCACCGATGTCTGTCGCAGATCTGGCACTGGATGAATTACTGAAAAAAAAACAACCCCAAAAACGTTCACCATTTCTTTCTTATTAACTTGATGCTCCAGAATTGCTCAACATTTTGTAAAGGGTATC